TGATACCGCGATCATTTGTGTTCCTTTAAACCGAACATAATTTGCTGGTGAAACTATGGATACAGGAAACTGCCTCAACCGACTGGAGCTGTATGTTGCAATCCCGGTTTTTCAACGGGGCTCACTTTCGGAATGTGTCGGTCATAGAGCGATCAGTCTCTACTCAGTTGCCTCTAAGTATCTCGCTGCTATCGTTTTTCATAGATTTACTAGCACCCATGAACGCTATATTCACGAATAGTAGACAAGGTTTCGTCTAATTTGAGGCCGTATTAACTACAATTCCACTGTACTTCTGTTGTCGGACCACCGCCACTTTTATTGGCGATGCACCCCAGCCTTGTCCATCAACATCAAAGTTGCCTTCGATTCGGTGGGTCATTGTGACCGATTAGAAAACGTGTACCCGAGAAGTACCTGAATATCAGACTAGCTCTTTACTCGAATAGTTACAGAAGAATGAAGAATATTGTCAAGCTGTCACCGCCATACAATATCTCCAACCTTTTAAGACAAGAATGCTTCACTATCACTGTTCCCATTCAACTTCGCCATTGACAACGTCGGCCAGTGGCCGAGTGGACTAAACGTCTACCTTTAACCCTGAGCTCACCGATCCGAAACTGCGTGGATGCGGGCGACCTCGCAGTGTCCTCAGTCCGCGCGCATCTGGCCGTGGTCACGTGATAGCATGGTGTCGGCACGGCGCACTGGTATCTCTCGCCATTAACGAAGTGATAGAAGACTCGTCCACCACATTCGAGTCGTATATGCTGTTTCTTCCAGGTGATCGGTTTCTCAACTTGGAGTACTAGCGATATTGTCATAATCTGACAGTTCAACCTGACAATCAGCACGTAGTGTTATCCATTTTGGGCTGAATTTTATACCCGCGAAGTTCTCCAGTAGTGTCAAGCTAGTTACGTACAACCACTGGTGCCTTTGGAGTTGGGCCCATATCCAGTTGAAACCAGAGAGATGAACGTGTTCGAGTGAGTTACTCGACAGTTGTTCATCGCTTTTGTTCGAGATTTCAAATTTGTAACCGTTTGGCTTAATAGCTAACCCAAAAGCAGTTAGATAAATGAGTATTTACTCAGGCTCTACTCGGAGCTTCCAACTCAACAGTATGTTGCACCTAGGCTGTGCCTAAATTTGGCGTGCCAATTTGCGTACCTTTTATCCATTAAGTTATGCTGGGTGGTTAATACTCTTGGCACTACTGAATACTGAGTACTGTATTATAGAGCAAGTAGAAGTGGATTCTGTACAACTCTTTCGAGATATGGCGAAAAACGTTATAAAAGTTGTCAACCTTGAATATCATTGTCGTTCTCATGTAATATTTAACATATTCGACTTACGATATTTCAGGATTCACAAATGTGATGTCATCGTAAGTGTGCAGTCGTTCTCTGAATCGAATAGAGGCAAAATGCAAATCTAACAACGTTTTGAACTGTTGCACAGATGTTGCCTCAATCACATGTTCGGGCAAACTATTCCAAATGTTTACCACTCTCCATTCGAAGCACAGTGGGTGGGGAACACGTTTCATATCCGGCACCACAAGTTTGTATCTGTGTCCGCGTGTGCTGCATGGCCCTCGTAAGTGCAGTATTGGCCTTAACATGGGGAACTCACCGAAATGTAGAATTCGGTAGGTCATAATGAGGTCGACTCGCACCCGACGGTAGGACAAGGTGTAGAGTCCTAGTTTCTCGCACCAGTCTTACCCAAAGCCACGTAAACTCGGGATGAGCCTGGTAGCAACGTGTTGGACCCGTTCGATCTTTTGTGCCTCGCCTCGGGTAATCGGAAAGTAGGCGGGCGAAGCGTACTCTAGCATTGGTCTAATGATAGAAGAGAACAGTCGAGTGGCAACCTCTTCAGACCATGTGCCGAAGCTACGTTTGAGCGCCCAAAGCATGCGCAGTCCGTTCCGATATAGCCTGTTCGTGTTGTCCACGGACTTCAAATCGTAGCGTGAGAGTACACCTAGGTCCTTCACGGAGGGTGTGGGATATAGCGTTTGGCCGTCAAGGGTGTAGGTTCGGCCGTCGGCACCCTTCCCCAGGCTCATAAATACCGACTTGGCTGGGTTGACCGGGAGAAGAACTTCTGCAGACCATGTGGATAAGCGGTTGAGATCTTGCTGAAGTAGGCCACAATCATCGGGAGCGTCGATTTCTCTCCAAATCTTCATGTCGTCCGCAAACAAGGCACACGGCGACCGGAGAAGCTGCGGTAGATCGTTGATGTGGATCAGGAACAGAGTGGGCCCCAGCACAGTGCCTTGAGGCACGCCACTTGTAGAGGGGTACCAGTCAGTTAGATGGTCGTCGACCTGTACCCTCCAGCGGGGTTGAATGCTATCTAGGGGGCATGTAAAGTTTTGTTTTGGTCTTACAGGTTTGGATTTGGAAGTGAAGCAGCACCCTTTTCCGTACTGTATGTGACAAAACTGCACAGCCAAGCCACAATTTATCAAAACGCTTGGAACGTTGGGTTGAACACCTTGAGAGGTAATTTAATCGGCCGGAGTTATCAGGTTTTTCGCCGACCAGTGATCGCCATGCTCCCTGGGTTATCCCTTTGGATTCACGTTTTCGCTCAGAAGTCGAACGCGAGATCAGACTTTTGAAGTTGAATAAAGCCACAGGACCAGATAATATTTCTCTAGCCTTCTGCTTTCCAGCACACATGTTCACACCGCTCACCGAATTCTTCAGTCACCTGGACCCAAATTAACTATATTACCATCAGCTACAGGTGGCTCACATCAGTTCATTACTGCGTGTCAATTTGGAGCACATGCCTGGATTCCAACCATGGTCTAGTGGGCGCACGCTTGACGCTCACTTTTTCCACTTGATAGAAGTGTCTGTCTGATAACTTTACCTGTCACTTAGACCTACAGTCTGCAGTTCACTGATAGTATTACGAACTAACCCACCAAATGCCAGTGATGAATGAGATTGCTTAACCGAACGCTGACTGGGGTCGTCTCAAATGTGCTATAAATAATGCTTTTGGCGCGTGTTATGTACGCAACATGATACGGCGTAATTTTGGATGAATCTCCAGTGCATTGGTCAACTTGATCGGAACACAGAAACCGCTTCCGCTAGACACTGGGTTTCAGCGTATTAGTAACCCTGCAACGACTTATAAAGAGGAGTCTTCGAACTGACGGGGAATGTTGGTGGATGACAAAGACCCATGAGAGGGAGAAAGCCAGTGTTATTGGGAACAGCCGAGTGCTATTCCAACTCATCCGGAACACGCGTCCGAGAAAGTCATCAGTTAACGAGACAATAGGTGAGAAAGACAGGTGGCTGATCCATTCTCAGCGTCGTCAATTAGCCCGTTGGACTAAACAGTGGTAGAGCAGTTCATCAAGCCTGATGCGACACTGTCGCTTGCCGAATCACCTAAGCCGTCGTGAGAAGTAGAAGTCACACCTCTTCCTTTGAGAAGGATTCGACTTGAGCTTGCCGTGCTGAAATGAAACATTGCTCCTGGACTCGACTATACCCTTTGTATGCCCCTTGATTGGCTTTCTCGGCTTGCATTATACACCATGGCTGTACTAACCTGGGAGAAACCGCAAGGTGGCCAGTTCATAACGTGACGTAGAGGCATGTAGAATTAGACTGCGGGATTTGGTCAGGCTGGTGCGTGCCATATTCGTGGATGTGGGCCCCGGGATGATCCGCACCAATAATTGGAGACGTGGCGCAGTCACACAGTCAGTGGCGTTCCTGCATTTTCTTTCTTGGATCTGTTTGTTACTTTTTTACCATTCTGATTAGCCTAACGTATTTTCTCCCCGCTATTTTTTCTATTCTACTGTCCTATTCCACTGTCCTTTCGTTGTTATTTATTGTTATTATCACGGTGTAATTCATGACAACTGGATCATATTCCACTGTCCTTTCGTTGTTATTTATTGTTATTATCACGGTGTAATTCATGACAACGGATCATAGTTGTGCATCCGAATTGAACCGACTGAATAAAAGTCTAGTTTAAAGTGATTATGGTATACATATAGTAGATTTGATGTTTTTCTGGTGTTGAAATCTATGATTTATCATTAATATCACAGGTCTTTATCGAAGTCCTTACTTTTTACTAAAATTGTGTTTCCAATCAGCATAGATGGCTGATAGGTATCTTTTGGGTGACCGTTTTTCGTGCCTCTGGCCGCCCGAGGGAGACATGTTTGGTGACGAATATCGGTCACTGCAAAATTTTTGTTTAACCTTTGGGATTAAGTATTGATAAAATGCGATTTGGGAATCAATTTCTGTTTATTATTGACTATGTTTACAAGCCGGGAAAATGGATCCACGCTATGTATTTAGACTGCATTGGAAAAAGTTTTTTTTTAATTGCAAAAATTCATGCCAAATGTGTATCACTTGGATTACCGGGCGCATAATAATCGGTCACTTAAATCGCTCCAACGGTCACTCCTTCGAACCTTTTCGGTCACTACTGAAGGCTTTTACCTGACATCAATTGATGTTTCACGACTGACAGCTTGGGATCCGAAAGACGATGAACATGTTTGGTTGAATGCGCTTGTTGGCACAAGTAAGAGCCAACCTCATTGGTGTTTGTGTTGTGGATTTCTTCGTCCCTCCTCCTGCAATTACGTTCTCACACTAGACATACATTACAAAAGAATCGCATTTGTTTTGTTCGCTTTTACTTTACTTTTCTTTTCATGACTATAACTTGCATTGTGTTGTGGCACTATGTCGGCCGATGGCCGAGTGGTCTGCACACCTGGCTTGCAACCATAAGATCACCTGTTTGAATCCGCGTAGTGGCGGCCGTCCTCGCGATGTACTGAGCCCACGCGCGATTGTTGGTGGTCGCGTTGCAGCGAGCGCCGTTGCGACCTACCGTTGACATATTATTATTATTATTATTATTATTATTATTTTATTGTAGCCCCATGACCGAGGCGTCTTTCACTTCGGGCTAATATGTAGTATGCTAAATGCTTTTTTCCATTGATGTTTTTTCCTATTTTGTGCATTTCTCATTGTTTTATCGCTTTTGTTGTTTTCTTGTTTCGGTTCCGCTAGTCATGGTGGTTGGATCCAATGCATTTTGGTCTTCAGATCACTGGGACTTGTCTTATGTACGTTGACTATCTATACATATATCTTCATCTTTCTTTTTAGCCCCTTTTCGCTGGTGCACGATGTACCGCTTCACTCGAGAATATTCGGACACTTCGGTGTGATGCACTCCTATTTCTTTTCGGTGTTTATCTCTGGTACGTTTCTGCTTCATCTGGCGCAGTCATTTTCTTGTTTTCCTGAGTTATGTTTAACTCTTAACTATATGCGTCCACACAATTTACTTCCGCCTTTCTCCATTTTGTTTCGAATGTACCCTTACCAATACAAGTACCGCTCCTTGCTGAATATTTGGAGTATTGCCCATTGTTTTCCTGAACCTATTTGGCCGACGTTTTATGATTTTGTAGCCTTGTGCTCTTGAACATATCCGGCTATTCAACGCGTTTTAAGCCCTTTGTTCAGTTGCTCGGTAGTGGTGTTTGTTAGCCTGTCTTATGCCTTGCGAGTCACCGGAAATCATAGTGTTCTCCTTGGGTCCGCATACGAGCACTTTCGAGTTTTTCTTTTATCTGAAAATTTCTCCCTGTCTTTGGCTAATACCGCCTGAGAGCTGCCCTGAGTCATCAGATAGGGAATCATTTAGTGGGATAAGGCGGTGGATCACTTCACTCTAATGCCCAATCTAGCAACATAAAGTACTCGGATTTTTTTGTTTACAGCGTAATTGGTATAATTAGTTGGGATATTGTGAGCTTTGGCATGGATGTTCACTGCAGCCAATATATCAAATATGAGGGTGACTGCTACTGATTTAACTCGCGGCCGTATTTATACCTCGAAGCGACTACACATGTGTAGTAAATAAGAACTCAGACCCAACGTAGGACGGTTGAGCGAGAAGACAAACGGCCCGTAGATTAGGCTTTAATCATCTGACCGAATACCAGTATGGGCTAAAAGCAAAAAAAATGCACTGATAAATAGTACGAAAACTAATTCTACAAGAAATGCAACATACTACATTTCTCCCTCGCCAATAAATGCTTGTAATGTCATGAGTTGGGACAGAATGTCTATGCCTCTCTGTTACGTAGACAGTAAGGTCGTGTGCGCTGTTGCTGGCGGTATAAGTTCTCAAGATTGTCTGACAACGGTAAAAGTGTACTATTTGGTTCGTCTGGCTCAGTAGGTTCGACATGGAGTGGCTCTGCTATAGTAACAGTATCCGAACTCCGCTGGGAAGTTTCAAGGGCTGTGACTTCTGGTACATCAGGTAGTGGAGCTAAGTGACGAAGAGAGACCGTTTCCTCGACGCCATTTGGCAGTCGCACACGTGCGTCCGCCGGATTACATTCCAGCAGTTCCACTTCGTCTACCAAGGCCTCATACTTGGAAGTTTAATTGTTCCGCTTTAGCAAGGCTGGTCCATGGGAAAGAAGCCAACGCGGCAAACATACTCCAATAGTTGACTTTCTGTTATACATAAACATCCTCTCGTGGGGTGTAACATTTGTGGCCGTGCAGAGCAGTGATCTGATAGAATTGATTGCTTCTGGTAAAACGGAATCCCACTGCCGAATATCTAGTTTTTTTTGGAACGGACTACTAAGGTTATGGACTTCCATAATGTCCCGTTCAGCCGCTCAACCTGTCCGTTTCCTTGGGGATTGTACGCGGTAGTCCGGCTAGTAGCGACGCCTTGACCATGCAGGAAACTTTGCGGTTCGGTGGACATAAACGAAGAGTCTCTATCGGTGTGAATGTAGGATGGCACACCAAAAGTAGCAAACAGGTTAACGAGGCAAGAGGCATCAGTCGAGGCTGACATATCGGAGCACGGATAAGCAAAAGGGAACCGTAAGAATTCATCAGTCAGTAAATATTTTGTTACAGGTGGAGGATAGTAGCGGCCCCTTGAAATCAACACTCCGTCTTTCAAATGGCTGCGTGGCTTTAACAAGGAAGTGAGCTGCGGGTTGGAAAAATCGAGGTTTTAGTTTAGCACATGTGCGGCACTGCTGCACGACAGTATGGATTTCTTCAACGGAGAACGGCAACTGTTTTGAACGGAGAAAATGTATCGTCCGAGTCAATCCAGAGTGACATGACGTTGTGTGAACTTGTTCGAGATCGGGGGTGTTCAGCACGCCTATACAAAAGCCGCGTGATATTGTGTCGGCCACTTTGCTATCTTCACCAGATCTATATACTACATCGTAGTTGTAAGGGGACAACTCTATGCGCCACCATGAACTTTTGTCATTCTCGATCTTTTCCTTGTGCTGGGTGTCAAACATAAACGAAACCGAGCGTTAGTTTGTGATAAGCTTGAAATCGGTGCCAAGCAGATACTGTTTCCATCTTCTAGTGGCTTCTAGGATAGCATACGCCTCTTTCTCGACGATCGAACGGTGTCGCTCGCTACCAGACAAGGTACGAGAGAAAAGGCTACCAGTCGGCCGTTTTGGTTGATGGTGGCGGCAATGGCGATGTCCGACGCATCCGTTTCGAGGATAAGTGCTTCTTATGGATCAATTGTAACCACTGCTGCATCGATTAACTCATTCTTCAGATTTTCGCATGTAGTAACCACTCCGTCCGGGGGGTTTGAAAGATCTGTTGTGGATCAACGGATGATTTTCTCAGCAAAATGAGAAACCCATTGAGAGTAGTAGGCAAACATGCCCACAATGCGCTGCTGGGCTTTTAAGTCGTTCGGGGTCTGCGTTTCTAGAAGCGCTGCGAATCATGCAGGATCAGGTTTAATCAGGCCCAAGGAAATTTGATACCCGCGTAACTGGATGCACTTCGAAGAAAAGGAGCATTTATTAGTATTGAGCGTCAAGCCATACTTGTTTGCCGCTGACAGGAACCTTTTTAGGTTCCCATCGTGCTCTGCAGAGGTTTTGCCGCAAACCGTTATGTTGTCGACTTATGCAAAAGTTCCGGCGAGCTTTTTTTACGAATTAACTCATCCATGGCGCGTTGAAAGCAAGCCACGCCATTCGTGACGCCAAACAGAATTCGTCAGAATTGATAACGACTGCCGCATGCCTCAAATGCGGTAAAGGGTTTATCACTTTCGTTGATGGATATTTGATGGTAGGCGGCCTGCAAATCAAGCGTACTGAAAAATTGATATCGAGCAACTTTCTGCACCATTTCATCAATCCTTGGCATCGGGTAGGCGTCCCGTTGCGTGAACCTATTCACGGTTTGGCTGTAGTCGATTACCAGTCGCTTTTTATGACGATCATTATACGTGACAAGAACTTGAGCACGCCACGGCGAGTTGGACGGTTCGATGATATTTTCTTCGACTAATCTCTGAATTTCAGAGCGTATAAAGCATTCGTCTTCTGGCCACTATCGTCTCGATTTCGTTGCAACCGGGGTGCAATTAGGAGTGAGGTTTGTAAACAGTGAAGGTGCATCGATACGAGCAGGTGCGAGTGAGCAAAGCGAATATGTTGGCTGTTCACCATGAAAAGGGATTTCGAGGCTTCTATGAAACTTCAGGAAATCGTCTCCCAGTAGAACATCTGCACACAAATCTGGGAGTACTGCGAGACGTACGCACGGGTAGAAGGTGTCCTTATACTTCAGAGAGACGAAACAATGACCACAAGTCGTACTTGTGTGCCGCATGGAGGCCAAGACGATTTGGTTCTGTGACCTTTCGATGTGCCACCGATTAAGACGTATGAATCTTTCGGAAATGTAACTCAGAACTGCCAGTGTCAAGTTGAGCTCGATGTACACCGTTAACAACGTCAGTGGTTGCACTTAGCAAGCAGTCAGGTGCCGCCGTCACATGTGAGGAGGTCAGGACAGACGATGTGTGTTTGTAAGATCCGTGCGATTTGCAAGCCTTTTGAAAATAGCCTTTCTTCCCACATGACTTGCATATAGCATCACGAGCTGGGCATTGAGAGCGTGGATGACGTGCATAACCACAGAAGAAACAGTTTGAGCAGATGACAGCAAGCGGAGTAATAGGAGGGAGGTGTTTTCCATGGGCGCACACTGGGCATCGGATGCAATTTCGTACATGTGGCTGATACAGTGGTCAGTAGGCCCACGAAAGGCGTCCGATTGTTTCTGTGCCATTTCCAGTGTTTTCGCTTGGTCGACCGCTGTCTTCAGGTTCAGCGTCTTATGTTCCAATAACCGCTGGCGAATAGGATGTGATAGGAGTCCGCTGATGAACGTGTCTCGCACATATTCATCCCTATGTGGTTCCGTAGTGACGGCCTGGAATTTGCAGTCTTTAACGAGCGAGTGAAGCTTTTGCAGATACTGTTCCACGGATTGACTGACGTCCTGCTTGCATTAGAAACCATGTGGCGCGTAAAAACTTCGTTTTTCGGTCGTATGTACAAAGATTCCAGTTTGGCAATGACGTCATATTCCTGGCAATCAGAAATATGGCGATAAACAGACGGGGCAAGATAGTTAACCAGTATCTTCAGTTTGTCAGGACAGAGGTCGTTAATTGATTCCAGGAAGTTGCTCAAAGTGCAAAGCCAATGGGTCCAAGCGTCGGAGGCATCTGGTGAGTTAGAATCGGCAGCAAAACGTTCCGGTCGAAGGAAATGTTCCATTGTCGCTTTGTCAGATGATCAATTTGTAGTAAATAAGAACTCACACACGACGTAGGACGGTTGAGCGATAAGAGAAACGGCTCGTAGATTAGGCTTTAATCATCTGACAGAATACGAGTATGGGTTAAAAGCGAAAATGTGCACGTGATAAATACTACAAAAAATAATGAGAGCGACATAGTACAAGAAATACCGCATACAACACCATAGTCACACAGGGCTTGGGAATTAGACTGACTGTCCATCCAGTTCCTTTTATTCAGCTGATTCCATTCCATAATACTGAACCATTTGTGTTTTTAAACAGAGAGATACTCGATCCCCAGCGATGCTTGCCCTTTACATGTCTAATACGAATCGGATTCAGTTGAGTACAGATGAATTCCTCTAGAAACTTCTCGCTTTTTGGGTCTTGATTATAGTTAGCATCTTAGACAGAACAGTTAGCGTTGTTTCATTGGGTTCCGCCCCTCTTGTTACTGCTTTGATAAAAGCTCATATTGCCGGCCGTTTCCAGGGAGGTCTCATATTCGGATCGCGGCACTCAGGAGTGTCAGCCCCACCTACATCTCCTCCAAGTTGCTTGTCTCTGTCGTTCTTCACCGGCTGTTTGGCATTCGTGAACACTACCTTGGAGAATAGGAAGCTGTGTTTCATTGTAAATTGAGGCTGTATTAGCCACATGTTCACATTATTTCAGTTGTCGGAGCTACGCCATATCGGTTTTCAACCCACCGTTGTCGTTTTCCTCAACATTAAGCGTGTATTCCATTCGGTGGATCGATATGCCGTTTGGGACTGTTTGATTGAGAAAGGTGCGCCTGAGAAATACCTGCATATTGTAAGAGCGCTTTGTGTGCCTAGTTTGAGCAGAGTAGGGGGCTAATAGAAAACTGTCTCTCGCGTTCAGTATTTTCAGTGGCGTAGGACAAATATGCTTGCTGTCATGTTCCCTTCTTAACTTTATTATTGATGAAGTTATGAAAGCTGCGTTCACTAGCACGACTTGCTTCCAGGTGGTCAACTTTTTGACTTGGGGTATACCACTAATATTACCACGATGTGTGGCAGCCTACATGCCTACCGTTCAACACTGGACAGATTGGCGTTTGAGTTTGTTTGTTTCGAATTGTGTTTTGCATTTTTAAAATTTGAGACTTTGTAACAGGGTTGGCAGGGCCCATCTCCTGCACTAAGCCTTGGTTGGGACCAGCTGGAATTCGTCCAAAAATCCAGCTCAGCATAATCATCAATACATGTTAGCTGAGGGTTACAAACACGCCTCAACTAATGTGCCGCAATACAGAAAATAAGATATTAAAAATAACACTGCGAAAATTCAAAAATCCAGCAATATGATGTTAATATTAATTTGCTATGAGATCGAGATTGGAGGGGAATCTAAAAAAGTGGGGGATGGACAAAGAATTCACAGCACAAACGCTATTGGGGTCGGCTCCTAGCCATGTTAGCGAGTGTGTCCAGCCAAACATGCTCATCACCCTTCTGACCCCAGTCATTCAGTCAGGATAGATTAACCGACACCAACTTCAAAGTGAGTGTTTTCATTCCTCTTAACCCAGTCATCACTTGGTCTCCGCTCCATCCAGACCGCGGGCACGCAAAGAATGCATATCTCGGTAGTCGATGGACTGGCATGCGCAACACGAGAAACAGCTACCTAGGCAGAAATATCAGGCTATGTGGAATAAAGAATAAGTTCATGAGCCATATAGCCAAAATTCGAGGTCGCTTTTGTTCAACCTCGGAAACTATGGTACGAGCGCGATATCTTGCTCCTCTTGTGGTTTAGGGTTTACAATGCTGCCATCTGTTCATCCTTGTTGTGCTGTTGTGAGATCTGGCCTTAGTGAACTCAGTGCGTTTGACCACCGATGTATTCGCAGTTGACCTCATGTCTGGTGGAAACAGTGCATTATCCTTGAGCGTGTTCGACGTCTTATTTATGGCACAAGAAAGGAAGTGAACCGCTCAGCATCGTTATATCACGCACCAGGCTGGCCCATGTGTTACGCATGCATGCACACCGACTGCCGCGACTTGCTTTGTTTGCGCGACGGGGATCTGTATCTAGGAAGATAAAAGGAGACCTGCAGATGATTTTTTTCAAGAGAAATGTAGGTTCTGACTTCGAGCTTAGCCTCGGCTGGAGTCTGCTGGCTCCATGGTTGGTGTCCAGCGTGTAACGATGCTGACCATGTTGTGATGGTCATCTGATCGAACGAGTTGCTGCGGGGCTCTGGAGGACCCGGGTGAATAAAATGCCGGAGTTCTGGTCACGACGAACTCCTCGAATGCGATTTCAGCATCTCCAGTAGTTTTAAGACCTTCCTTTCGGACGAAGTTATTCAGGCACTTCGGAAAATGGTATTCGGTGGGCGAGAAATCCAAGCAGTGTAGTGGTTGAGGCAGAGTTTTATAGCCAGTTCGTGCAGCTTCCTCAGGGTTAGTTGTGCGATATGCGGCAGTGTTATCGTGGAGAAACATTGGCACCTTTCTGTTGAACAGTGCCAGTCGTATGTGTTGCAGCTTTCGATGCATTTCGGCAATTTGTTGGCAATATTTCTCTGCTGTTATGGTTTCTCCTAGATTCAGAAAGTTGTGATGGATCCGACTAGCCACGGACCATCAAATAGTCACCATAAGTTATTTCAGATGAAATTCTAGCTTTGGAAAGTGTGCTGGTGCCTGGTTTTGATCCAACTTCTGAGCAGTTCTTCGTCGATTGTCGTAAAGGATCTACTTTTCATTGAACGTCACAATGCACTCTAGAAATAGGTCGTTTTTATTGTGCAGAACGAGAGAGCAGCTGACATTACAAATCGATGACTTTGATTTTCACTTAATTCATGCGGCACCTACTAATTAAGCTTTTCCGACGCTCCAATCTCACATTAATGTTTGAACACTGTTACTTGCGATGCTGCTACTAATGCCCCCTTAATTAATCCTTGTTCACACCCGATGGCCATTCACAGCGATTTTCATCTTCAATTCCGTTTAACCGTTTCAACAATTTTTGAATCCACCATTTTGCAGTACGGTCATTAGTGATTCCTGGACCGAATGCACTGTTGATTTCATGAGCTGTTCCCACTGCATTTTGTCCAACTTTAAACTGGAAGAAGACATTTGTGCGCATTTGTCTTCTGTCCATGTTAGATCAAGTGTTCGGTTAGTGTAACAACTGATACAACGAAAACCACGCTTCAAAATAATTTACAAGCTAAAAGTAACCTATTAAAAATTGGTTCATGGATGGGAGCCTCGGGATCCCCCACTGCAATGAGCTGAGGTTTTGTCCAGCTTGGTGCAGTCTCGAGATTGGGGGCGCTCTTACTTGTCTATCTGGTTGGTATAACAACTTTATTTCTTGCTCTCTTCATTTTGTCTGCATTGTTCTGTTCTACTCCCCCTGTCATTTTGTGATACCGTCCAATGGTGGTACAAGTCCTGGCAGTTGAATCCACTACGCTTCTTTGCTTAGAATATAGTTTCTTTTGTTCTCGGTGTTCGTCAATCAATCAACCAACTGTCAGCAACAACCCTTGATGAGAACTGTTTCACCGATCAGGATAACTCGGAGAAATTCAGGTTTGATCTATGACAAAGCAGCTCACAGTCCAGGGTAGACTCAGTGACCTTCTAAAATGTCAGAAACAAATAGTTGCATTTATTGACCGTGAAGATCTACGAAATGAATCAATTCGTTTTGAGGTATCCTTCCTAATTTACTTGTCTAACTGAACTGAACTACTGGAGACGTATGGGTCCGTTTCCACTAACCAACTACTAAACAGTTGTTTTTGACTTTTGTAATTAAAGACGATCTCACATTCGTAATGTTGTAACTTTATTGTTACCATACTGTATAGTACTCTTCAGTGTTCAAAATTTGACTTTCTTGATTTGGTCTAAACCCAGACAAGGCTGCATTAACACCATCACCTTAGAGTCCCATTTTTCGACTGATAAGTACATTACCAACCCTTCTAGTCTGTTATCCCAGAGGTCTTTTTTACATAATTATCTCTTCTTGATAATTGCTTCACATAGGCTGTGATTTGAGGTCTAATCGGCCCAGAGAACCTAATGCTACTGGCTCCGATTCGCCTAATTGTCTGAGTTCGTCTTCCACGAATATACTTTTGCGATCATACTCAAACCGACCTTCTAGCTTTTACTGTGCACAATGTTTTCTTTCAGTTTTGCTATCGCTGTCATCATCCCTCGACTCTTCGCCCTCGGAACTCGATTATTCACACATTTTCCATTCCACCGCCAACATCGATGGTTCAGTGGTTTTTCCATGCACCACGGCTGAGCTGAATTTAAACTGGACGCGCATTTGGTATGCGAATGATGAGCCGTTGAAGGAGATTGCCGGTTATCGTATCCTGCTTCCGAATGGCAGCCTTAGCCTTCGTGTTCGGATGGAAGATTCGGATATTGTGTACCATTGCCATATCATTGGACGCTTTGCCAACGGATCTGAGGCAATGAGCGATTATTTTATCTTTAAAGTCGATCCGATAGGTGAGTTGTCACTGCACCCTCCCACCTATACCTGCATGTAAGCGAAGTTTGAGATGAAGAGTGGCAACGAAAATGGTTGCTGATAACAAGCACCGTTAGCTGCTAATCATTAAGCTAACTCCTTCCGTTGGGGACTGAGACAGTTTTGTCACTGTTGTAAGTTTCCCACCATATGGCTTCTCGACGTAAAATCGGTCAACGGTACTTTATACATAGCTCTATCTGTCTGGTAGGAGTCATGTATTCCCAACCTGAAACTGGAGTGTGCTTTACCACAACTGCCTTTGAAGTCAGTCTTTGCACGTCTCGAAGTCAAGTCTATGTTTCTTCCACTAGCACCCACTCCACAAATGCTGGTAACTACTGAGCAGGCTGGCAAAGCACTTGTCCAATTTACCAACTCATGCGTAGTGTGATTGTGCCATTGAGTGACCAGCGGAGTTTAACTATGCTCGAAATTCGTACAGACGCTATCATCACTAATTTGATGCTCCGGATGCAACTGCTTTGAAATTACGAATTCTTGCACAACAGAGCGGTACACTTGAAGAAGTTTGCCTGTGTACTTGACGACTGCACGGTCGGACTCTTATGGTATTTAATAAAGAACCGATTGCAAAGCTTAAATCGATTAGGAACTGGTTGTGTACATTGATGTTGGTTAATTTTTTTGTCTGTTAGACATTTGCAGTTCATTCACATGGATGATATCCCTTATTGCACAACCTAGGGTACACGTGAACCGTAGTGCCCCACTATAGCGAGCCCCACGCCGTGCCCCCAGGTTGGACAAAGCTGGTCATGTTTTCAACGTGTATCCCCCAGGATTAATCAAAACCGAATGAGTACCTGTCACGGAGCAGCTTTTACTCTTTCAGGAGGCAAAGAACATTCTTCAATGTATCATCCGGTCGGAGCGATAACGTGCCCTAACGGTCGTCACTGAGTAATCATCATCATCATCATCATACACGTTAGCTAGAGGTGGGAAACACCTCAGCTACTGTGCCGCAATACATAGAAAAAAGGAGAGAAAAAGCAACTAGTGCAAGCTGGCTGAGCTAACAGTAACGGATGGGCATCGTTACGGTAAGCTACCAGCCGGCTGCTGTGCACCCAAAAAAATTATTATGCAAAATCATATAAGGCTAAATAATGAGATCGTGGTTGGAGGGGGAGGCTAAGAAGGATGGGGTGGGACAAAGAAACTCACAGCACGAACGCCACTGAGGTCGGCTCCTAGCCATATCAGCAAGTGTGTCCAACAAAACGTGTTCATCGTCTTTCGGACCCCAACCAGGGAGCCGAGGCCAGCTCCGAAGTGAGGGCCTTCATTCCTCTGGACTAAGTCATCGCTTGGCCACCCCTCCTCTTCTTCCATCCACACCCCCGGCGCGCAAACAACACACGTCGCGGAAGTCGGTGGGCTGGCATGCGTAACACGTGGCTGAGCCATCGGAGCTTGGCGCGTGAAATAACGGTGCTGAGCGGTTCATTTCCTTTTCCTGTGCCATAAACAAGGCGTCGAACACGCTCGTTGCTCACGCGGTGTTCCCACCAAATGTGAGCTAAATTACGAAGGCACCGGTGGTCGTCACTGAGTAAACCCCGCGATCATTTGCACGATCATTTAAATTGGTTTCACTGAATGCGACAAGAGGTAGGAAATGGAGACGAGGGATAACCTCGTTGTGTGCCACTATTGAGAACGGTGAATGGAGAATGCTTTTTGTTTGGCTTCCTGCTACCTAAGAATTGGAGGTATAGGGCTCGGAAGACGGTATCATGCTTTCCGAGAACCGAGTTCTTTTGCAAATAACATCACGATTGAAGCCGGCGCCGAGAAAGGTAGCACTGATATAAGCCTTGGGCAAAAGTAACAGTATTCAAGGAGCTAGTGGGATAGGATGATTTTGTCCACCCACCCACACTCGATCAAGGTGTAAATCGGCTTCTTCCTCCGTTGGGTGTGCTTCACGAATTGGTGACATTCTGTGAAACGAACTAAACACCAATAGCTTGGTGGTGACTGGCACAAGCTAATGCTTCTGCGGTTGCTCATCGAGTGCAGTATCATTCCTAAACCGGAACAGTAGCTTGCTCACCAAACCCTGAGAAACAGAAGTGTACACTGCGTAACCCGCAATTTTTGGAGGAAGCTCGGTTGGGCCAAGAACGTTGGATCGCTCACGCTGTCCAATCTTTAGGAAAACCCACTTATTTAGGTTTTCCTAACAAGACGAATTATGGTATGAAATTTTGTACACCGGTCCTACAGGTGGGCTGCATTGGCAAATTGAAACAGGTGTGAGAATTCGACCCAATAATCCATGTGTTTCACATATACTCCCATCGATAACGGACTTCTCCAGTCCGGTGATGCGATTGAGATAGGAAGCTTATGTGAGGTTCGAGAGAGGGTAATGTCCTCTATCTCCAAAGCACATTAGGACGACCAGGCTTCGTAATAACCTCACAACTATTCTCTTTTCCTCCGGTTGCGGGGATGCTTCAGTACAATGCTATATGATTTGTTTGAGACATTACGACGCCGATGAAACGGCTCCATGGAGCGAGAGGTGATCCCATCGTTCGAAATCCCACAAGTGAATCCGTACTTCAATTTGCCGCAAATGTGCTTGTTCGATATCATGAAATGGGTCACAAGTGATTACCTTTGCTGTGAAGATTGGTGGTTCATTTCTATTAAGCTATCTGCTACCCATCAGATGAGTTAACTTCCGAATACAAATGTTATAGCATAACAACGCGTTGTTTGACACAATATAGATGGATCAAAATAATAAACTGTCCTCTATACTACTTCATCTTCAAGGATCTCAATGTGGTCATGCTTTATCCAGGCTGACGTTGGATAGAATCACCGACAAATAGAATGCTTTCCAGCATACCCGAAACAGGTGCTGGACAGAAATACCTTGTTTTCTTTGCGCAGAGTTTGGAGCCTTTCCTCCATCTACTTGTGATGATTTTCGAGGGGATACTCAACTGGAAATAGGCGACCAACCGTTGTATTGCATTCTCTCTATCAAAGAAAGCGGTACGGAATTTGCGAAGAAATACTGTGGTTTGCAATTATGGCCTTTAACCCGACCACAGCTGCAGTTATTTGCGGTATATATATGGAAATGATAAGCAACTGATCGAACTACATGGCACTAGCGATGTGGATCCTTGGAAATGAAATTTTTTAGCAGCCGCACCGTTTACCTATACAAAGAGTGCGCGAAGCGTGCACGTTGCGGGAATGCTAGCGGTATCTTAATAAGATGTAACACTGTCCGTTCATCGAAACCGAATTAGAGACGTTAACCGATGCGACAGCAGCCCAACCTTTGCTTTGTAAATTTGCACACAAGACAGCTGGATTAGTTTTGCAAATCGTGCCCACTTCACTTGATTATTTATGATTCGTGCTCTGGCGTGCCTCGGATCCAGTTATTGCAACTTACATAATGCTAACACTATTACTGTCATTACTAATAACTTCCGCTGGGGTAGCAATTAGGAGACATACAACGGTATTACCGGTGTCTTAACCGCGCCGTATTCGTTAGAGTGTCACGCCCATTTTGGACCGGCGACTGCTCGTCTCCTTACTCCTTTGAATGAGTTATCAAATGGGCGTCTAATTTCCTCTAAAATGTCTATGTGTCTCCTCGCTGGATTGATGCAATGGCATGAATTCAAGATCGTGCGAACCATATTCCCTACGTCATAGGATTAGTACAAAATATGACTTATCCAAAGGCGCATGTTTCTTTCGTTATAGACCACCACGTGCCGAACACTGCCACTAAACTAAATACCGTCCAGAGATAGTTTCGGACCAACTTGTGTGAGCACGAAAACGTTATGCGGCAAGGCACACGTACGATTGTGGTCCGTAACTGACGCGTTTGCGGGCTGTACTGCGTTCAAGTTGCATCACTGAACTGTCGCATATAATACCTGGGAAATTTCGATCTCCATTATAATCATCCTTATCTATCTCGATCACACGAGTGTGTTCATTTCGAAATTGTTTGGTTACCTCCTGTTGCAGGTTTGCTTAGCAAACACTATTTGATGTTACCTGGCCGATTGATAGGCTCTGTGGAGATGCCTGTGCACTAGTCAAGCAATACCTTCTGCCGTGAGCCTTGACTTACTGGTTTTGTGCACAGATGAGTTGCGTCGCAGTTTTCACAAGTATCTACTTCATTTTTCTTTTCCAGTGGGGGCGTTTCTTAACCCAACCGTTGAAAATGTGACCGTTGACTGGGGCACCGTTTATGCCTTCCCCTGTGGCTTCGCCGGCACCCTACCACGTGAAGAGACAATGATACTTAATCACAAAGTATGCGTAATTGGGAAACTGTTTATTGTTATTTTGTTCTCCCTGATCGTTGCGAAATAATGCTGGTATTCTTAGCTCATCGCTGGTTGAAATATCTACTTCTTTATGTTTCCCTGTGTTCTTTGTCATCCGACAGAGTTCCTCCTTAGAGTTCAATAACATCCATTTGTCGGTGAATCTTCACGCGACATTGCTTAAAATCTACTCGCTCTTTGCACCGCCCGTGTATTAGAACATTGATAGGAACCTAAACGCTTGATCTTTGTGTTCAATCTCCCCCTCCATTGGCTTCTTTCAGCCTCTTTACAATACTGGAGCTGACGGTGATTCCTTGATGAGAACTAGCAATGACATTTGGCTGTCCAAATTCCCACACTTCCGACTTCCTTAGTCATCGGTATTTATCTCTTATCGCTATTGACTCCATCACAATGCAGTTGCTTTCACTCTCTAGTCACTCTGTCGCTCCACTACCACTGGAAGTGGTTATGATGGGCCTCATCTCATCTTCAACATTGCCAGCGAAACACTTGAAGACCGTGTGAGCAGGGTCACCCTCATCCTCCTCCTCCTCATCATCATCAACAGCAGTACATCAGCCATTTGAACTGATGCTTCGCTGCCATACAGCCATGAGGACCTATGAAATAAAGAATAAGAAGAGGGAGAGAAGGGGGACTTACCTGAAAACCTTAATGCCCTAAGCAAACATTCTGGGTCAAGGCGCCTACACCTTGTGTAGACAGCATACCTTCACAAACAGCTGGCTATCGTGCAAAGATAAGGCGGCATTGGCGAGACAGCTTCCTTGCAGCTTTCGATGCCACAAGTCATAATCAGCCATTACCCCGCAGATAACTCAGCACCAAACACACTTTAATCAGGCAATCCGATTAGGAGACTGCAGCAGACGCGCCACTGGTGTCGGTTGCGAGCCATGTCCTGTAAAGTCTCGAGCCAAGTACAAGGTGAGTCACTTGGACTCCATCCCGGAAGGCGAGACGGACCAACGGCAGCCAGTTTGGTCGACAGTGAGTTCATTTCCCGCTGCCAAGTCAACTTCTGTCCACCGCGAGCTTTGCGCCACCCTACAGCTGGTAGACTGAACAAGACCCTCCTAGGTAATCGGTGACCAGGCATACGTAGTAGGTGCCCTAGGCAACGCAACTTATTCAGTGCTATCTGTTGTTCTAGGGAGCTAGCATGATTATCATTACTTAGTACTCGCCTACGCACATCATCGTTGCGCACACGCTGGTGCCATCCGATACCAGAAATGCTTCGCAGACAACGATGATCAAAGACTTGAAGGCGCCTCAGACCGAAGGGGCCAAGTCTTACTACCATACAGCAGAACGGCCCTCACTTTGGGCTTATATACGTGGCCTTTCAGACGGAGGGAAACTCCCTTCTGTCGCCAGAGATGCCGAGGTTTAAGAAGGTAGGGAGAACGAAGTGAGCCAATCGGTAGTGAACAGAGTGGGAGGGCCGATAGGAAAATTGTAAGTCTAGGTGCAGGGTGAACAAAAAATGATCAATAGGGTAGACGATAAATCATGGGGCGGATTGATGTGAATGAGTGATAGCCTGGTTAACAAAGAGCGTACGGGAATGGGTGTCATGGGGTAGAGCGTAACCGGTTTCGGATGTGAATGTAAACACAAGCAGGGGCATGGGGAACTTTGGGTATGTAGTATGGCAATTGAACAAAATTGTCCTTTGCACACCCCCGCGAAAATCTGACCAGGATTTTCAAATTGTTGAAATCATGTTCTAGCCTAGATCGCCTATCCCCCGCTCCATCCACGCTAGGAGGATACAGGACTTACACCGGTACGCCTGCACCTCCCACTTCAGCTGCTGGACTCATAGCGGTCCTCCCTGAAGCAGCAGATTCGAAAACTCGCCTCCCGCCGGCGGAGAGCCAGCAGCCGGAACTACTCCCCCTCTAGCCGACCACCCTTCTAATATACAGAATTTTCGCACATCCCTCTTCAATAAACCATCCTTCGTCTTGAAGTTCACTGTTCTTCCGAGACCACCTTGGGACGTGGCACAGCCTTCAACTAATCCCAACGGCCACATGTTGCGAGAAAAAGCTTAGGAAACAACTAAAACCACAACTCCAGGTTTGAAATTCCGACAGGGATTTAGCGATTTCTCTCTAGAATTCAAAAGAGGTAGATACTTGTAGCTCGGGTTGTCTGTCAAGATTTTGTTCTGTTCTCCGAGCTGAACAGTTTCGTTGCAGACGTTTCAGGCAGCTGCGAGAAAAGATTTTACGTGGATCATCTGGCAAATGAGTCGGAAGAGGCGGCGCCCACACTGGGAACAAGCAATGATCACGGGACCTGAATCGAACTGAGCAGGTTTAAATGTCACTCGCTCACCGGTAAGAATTGACAAAACAAATCAGTTTACTTATAACGCACTGAGGAAGTCACCACGACTGGTGATGAAACGTCTGCAACGAAACTGTTCAGATCGGAGAACAGAACAAAATCTGAAGAGGCAGATATTCTCTAACCCATCGTTTCCAGAACAAGTCTGCGAGATAATTTACCTGCCGCCATCAACGCCTATTTGCATCAGCTATAGACTTCGTCAATAAACCCGATGGATTTGGTCGCAGTATCAGCATATCATTCGCAGTTAGGCCGGTCGGTCGGTGGAGTCAGAAGGAAGGGGAACCAATGGTCTGATATTAATAATACGCTCGGCTTCAATAATCAAGGTACTTAATGCTTCCTCACTCAAAACCTGTTGTGTCGCAACCGACAACAGTATTCTCCTTACCGATCGCACGATGCGTTCCCATACTCCACCTCTATGACTGGCCTCTAGCGGATTTAGATGCCATTGCACACCGAATAATGGCAGCTTATCATTGATATGTTTTTCTGACCACCCCTTCATGGCAGCCCGCAGTTCTGCAACTGCTCCCACAAAATTACCTCCATTGTCACTAAATATTTCCGCCTTAGTTCCTCTGTTGGCAATGAATTTCATCAACGCCATTATGAGAGAGTCGGTGTTCAAAGTACAAGACATCACAATATGTACGGCCCTCGTTTGCAAGCACGTAAATAGACAGTCATCTCACTTTTCTTGTTTCCTCCCGTGCTTGACAATCAACGGTCCAAAGTAATCAACACCAACAAATTTAAAAGGATACCATCCCTTTTTAATCCAAACTATGGGCAATGGTGCCATCATCTGTTGGCCGGTCGTGACAAGCCGTCTTCTGCATATCCAACAGCTTCCTATTAATCTCTTAACGCCACATAACCCTTTAACAATCCAGTATTTGCGGCGTAAACTCGCCAAAACTTGTGAGGCACCAGAGTGACCTTCAGGGATATGCTAAAATCTTATCAGCAACGCAGTGACCGCATGCATTGGAGGTATAATAGCAGGGAACTTGAAGGAACTGTCGTATTCCAGACACAGTACTCCATTTCGCAAGATGGGGCAGAGCTGCGACAGACTCCTTTGCCGTGCCTTTCTTTTAGGCATTGTTCCTTCCTCCGTCTGTTCTATTCGATTTATTTCATCACCGTAAACTTCATTCTGTGCCATTCTAATAACATCAAATTCTGCCCTTTTGAGTTCGTCGAGCGTAAGCAAGCTGGTATACTGTAGGCCGATATCAGTACCATACGCTCGCGCCTTCAGGTATCCTTTGCATCGGGTTAGCCACACAAATGACTTCAGCAACTTGAACCAATCGGGATATCTTCGGATTAAGGTTGACAAGGAGGATTCGCATGTCACCATGTTCACCTGAACCTTCACACGCTTTAACTCTATGTCATGCGGTTCGGAATTCAAACACTTATCTGGCCATTCGTCGTTATCACTCAGTAAGAAATCTGGCCCATGGAACCAGCTCTCCAAACGTGCAGAAGAATAGCTACCTCTTGAGAGTATATCTGCTGGGTTACTACCAGACATGACATGCTTCCACTGGCTAGGGTCCGTCAACTCATGAATTACTGACAATCGATTTGAAACAAAGGTGCTGAATCGCTTAGACGTATCATTAATGTAGTACAAGACCGTTGTGGAGTCCGTCCAGAACCAGATGTTCTCAACTTCCAGCTAGGCTCTCGGTCACATCCTCAAATACACGTGTGGCGAGCACAGCCGTAGTTACTTCTAACCGCGAAATAGAAACAGTCTTCAAAGGAGCCACTCTTGACTTCGAGTACAACAAAGCGCAGCGTCTTGCCCTTAATGCGGAATCTGGCATAGGCCACCGCCCCGTATCCAGTCTCCGAAGCATCGCAAAATATATGCAGTTGTGGAGGTCCCAAAGTCTCAGCGCCATTGCGAATGCACCGGGGAATTTTCAGGAAACCCAACGCCTTGGTCCTTCTTATCCAGCTATGCCAGGCCGTCTCGCTTTCACCAGTAATCAAATCGTCCCATCCCACCTTATCTTGATACAATTGTTGCAGCAATAGCTTCACCGGCATGATCAATGGGGCTACCATACCCAATGGGTCGAAGATAGTTGACACCACGGACAAGCTTCCTCTCCTGGTGTTTGGACCTTCGGTCACCGCAAAGTGGAAAAAACGCATCCTGCTTGGAATCCCAAGACAACCCCAACGTCCGGCTAACTAACCCCGGTACTTCAGCTATTGGCTTCCCTACCTCCGCAATTTCGGCAGATGGGGCCACCTCATAAACCTCATCGATATTGCAGACCCATTCGCATAGCTTGAAGCCGCCTCTGCCCAACATCTCTCTGATTTGCATTACAAACGAGCGCGCTTCCGCAGAAGTAGGGAGTGAAATCAAAAGACCATCAACATAAAAATCACGACACAACGCAGCCGAGACGTTCTCATTGTACTGGTGCCCCCACTCTTTGGCAGTCTGACACAGAGCAAAGTTGGTACAGAATGGTGAGGAAGTCGCTCTGAATGGATGCGACGTCATCTGGAGCTTCACCATCCCCGAACCAATCACGTTGTTCTTCCACCAAATAAGCC